ACTACTGACAACTCTACTCTGATTTCTAAGGGCTACCTTTTTACTGTGGACTCAGCTTCGATCAATTTAACATTAATCGATCGTAATCGTAATCCTCAGCTTAAAAAGTTAGCTGAACAAAGAAAAGAGGCAGCCAAAATTTTGCAAGTATTTAAAAATGGAAAACCGCAAAATAGCAAACTTCCCGGTATGACTTCCCAACGCAGAATATAAGAGCAACTCCAAGGTCATCTGAAGATCCAAGATGAAAATTCAGACAGAAAAAAGGCCTACTTGACGGGGACCCTACCTGAGTCCCCATTTTCGAAGGTTGAGTTTCGGAATCGTTTTCAAGTAGAGAACTATACAACCAAAGCAGGAGAATTATAGCGTAGCTGACAGTGATCGAACTTCTGTGGGTCACTGTCAAAACGTTGTCCAAAAGAACATGAAACTGCCAAGCATAAGTGAATATGAACAAACCTTCTCACCCATAAATACTGGAACTGCTGAGTATATCATAACCATCGGAAATATCGACCATAACATTGAAATTTGCTAGACTACAACTTAACATGCAAAAAACCAGATGAAATGTGACAAAGTCAAGTTTAGCGACCTATTCTTTAGTATCTCTTCTCAATCAACACTCGGGAGCAAAGCTGTACCACCGCTCCTCCCCTTAAGCGTATACGACAAATCAAGCTTTTTCCATGGAAACGAGTAATACGAACTATGAAAGCCAATATTGAAGAGAACTACGCAGTACTCAGCCAATGCGAACATCGTATAGACGCCAGGCTCACAGTAAGTGTTGTGTCTCCAGTACAGATACATTGCCATTACCATAGAGATAATTGAGCCAGAGCACGCCAAAATTTTGTACTCGTATGATCGCTCACCCTAGAAATATTGAAAAATTATCACATCCCGTAAAAGTTCATAGGTCTTAACTCGGTATTATTGACGATTAACAAGAAAGACACAAATGGCCTACCAGATTTGTCGTTCTCCTGCGTCCTGAATAATGAAATAACCACGTACTTAGTAACATGTACAATGTGGCTGAAGCGGCAAATCCAATAAAGCAAAACTTGTGGAGTTCTATAAATGTTCTTGAGAGAAATATTATTGAAAAATTACGGCTGCAATAAAATACCATGATTTTCTACAGAAGAAATTGCAGTTAAGCCGAGTAGAAACAAAATCTCCATGACGTTCAGTGCACATGCGACATGACATAAAAGTCGAAACATACGAGCTCCAGTGAGAGGCCTCAATGGAGAGTACAGGAGCAAGTTCCTTAAAAAAGAAGCAAAAACATAGAAGATACAGAGCATTTCAGGGACAACAACATAGAATGGCCAACTTTCGATCAGAAATCAAAAACAGCAGTCTTCCTACCTCAAGCTATCGCGCAATCTGCGCATTCTGTGGTTTCGCATCACCTAGACACGAGGCTACGACCAATGTACACCGTCCGTTGTGCAAAAATCAATGGAAGAGGTCGTATTCCGGAATGGGGGAGGGGGAGGAGAGGAGAAGGAGACGTAAGCTCAAGGAACAGCCACAGATTTTGAAAACCCTTGGAGGCCTGGACTGCCAACCAAGTACATGGCGCATCTCAGAAAAGGAGTTCCCACTATTTCAGTGAACACGAGCAAACGGATCTTACCAGAAAAATTCCCATGCCTTCAGACTGATTTAAAGTCGAAGAAAGTGCAGCGAATTCGACGTACTGACTTCTAGAGGTCAAATATAAACTCTGGCAGAAGAAAGGTTTTCATTTCAAAGCTTCGAGGAGACATCCACATGTTTTCAAGCATTAATCGTACAAATGTCAGTGGTATTTTGAGTTTTCAATTATACCAAAATTGGAGAAACCTATGAGCGTTTAAACGTTAATAACTCGCGCAAAGAATGGCTTTTGAAAGCTCTTCGAAAGCTCTAATCTGGAATCTCGTTATTTCTCTTCTAATTACAGATCTGCATTACTTGATTATGAAGGAAGATATGAACATACAAATGTTAATAACTCACGCGTTCTTAAAATAGGACTACGAACGCTACAAAAACGGAAAACGGGACTACTTTTAAAAAATAATCTTTCAGAGGTTTCAAAATTTTTCAGAAGCTTCAGTGCCTTTTCAAGAGCACCAATCCGTAAACTCTATTTAGCTTTAGACATCTTCAAAAAGTTGATTATGAAGAAAGTTATGAATGCTTGAATGTTGAAAACTCGCGTGTGCACAAAAAACGGAACAACGGGACGATTTCTTGAGGAAGAACATTCACCAATAAATACTTTTTGGAGAGAAACCCATTTGAATTCCCAAAATTTTTATCTTGTCGCATAAGAACGCAACTAAAAGAAGATATAACCTTTCAAATAAAAAGATTCGTAAATTCTTCAAGGTTAAGTTTTTTCCTTTCATAAAAAAGGAGGGCGTTTCTGAAAATAAAGTTCTCTGCGATTGCAAGCATAGCTAAGTCTAAGCAAAGAGCTATCTTTTTGATAGGTGAAATTTTATGTCATGTCAATGCCCGTCCTCTGAGCGAGGCAATGCGCGCGACGCAACATCCCACTGCCCACCACTTCTTTTCATGATAATGGCGGCCTATTCATCGATGGTGGGCATGAAAACGTATAACATTTTGAAAGATCGATATAACGGGTATCGTACCAATATCCCGGAAGGACGGGGGAGGGTAAAAACTTTACAATCAACACAACGGACGGTTTACCCTGCAGGTGATTGAACCCCATTCGTCATTTTATGACCACTTTCATCACTCAGTATCATTTTTGAACTAATTCTGAACCGAAATAAGTACTAGAGAACATAACTCATTCATAACACGAAAAAGAAAACACTGATAAAGCGAGTCGTCCAAAAAATCAATAAAAAATAAATTCACAGAAAAAAATGAGAAAGGAGACGCGGGGGCCATGTGCCGCATAGATCGCGAAGCGCAGAAATGTGTGGGAAGTGGGGAATGTGGAAAGTTGCCTTAGGGGGAAAAGTGCAGACTTCGCAATGCGATCGCGCAGTCTGACATTTGTATGAGGGCGTGATAGCCGATTTTATGCGTAAAAGTAGCGCGATTGTGTGAGGTAAAATTCAGCACGATAAGTAAAATAAACCTGTAGACCAAACTCACCTAACTGCGATAGCAACAAGCAAGCGGGGACCACTGTGCACAGCAATGAGCATTCGCCAAATGTACATCTCCGGAGCGAAAGTTGAGACAGCAGCAGAAATCGAAGGCAGCCTAGATGCACATGATGCTCAATGGGCTCAAATTGGTGGTGAGGGCATACCTATATCAACTTTAAAAAATATAAATAAAACTAAAATACAGTGCTGATTTAACCCAAACCAATCAATAGAAAAATGAGTCTTCAGTATCGTGATGGCAGCACGCCTTTGCATTCCTGGACGCATGGGACAGACACTTTTCCAAACGCGTCGTTGCCCCCCCTCAAACTGGGGTTTTTTAGATTCGAATTTGAGAGGAGTGCGCAAAGAAGTTGGGTAGAGTGTGCTGCCCATAGCTTCAAGAAAGCATTCGCCAAACTAAAGGAAATTGAATCATTCTGTATAACGCGTCCTTTATGAAGAGATAACTTATATGAATTTATACACAAAAAATGGAAATTGCACATGTGCAAGGAAAAAATTGTGATAGTGATTCACGCAAATTGTCCACAATGTCCCGCTTAGCATGCAGAGTGATCCTTCGCGCGAATCACACTATCGTCAAGACATTATGAAACAGTTCTCGCAACTCATATTATGTTGGAAAAAATGTTCGTTATGGAAAATGTTCGTTACCTGAAATCTAACGTACCAGTTTTCTACTCCACAATGAGTTCTGGTTGCTGCTTCGAAATGAAGTAGTATAGAAAAGAGCACACACACGAAGAGGGCAGATAAAGGTAATCCTGCTACAACTAGGGCGAACACCCGAACCGAAACTGATAGATGCGTCATCCCCCATCCCCGTATGCCATCAGCCTGAGTATACAAAATTTAGAGCAAAATGTGTAAATAACATACAAAAAATTACAGCAAGTACCGCAATCATAAAGAGCCCGTTTTGTAGAAATTAAAGAGAGACCACCACGAAATGATTGAGGGCAGCCGTGGAAAGGTATTCTAGAATTCTGTCGGTCGATGAGGTCACCAGAGCGATGTAAGATCTCATATTTATTTATACCAAAGACTTCCGCCAGCACAGTGAGCTTCATCCCCTCCCGACCTTCCACGGTCACCAAAAAAGCCCAACCACCGAAATCTCATGGCGCACATTTCCATGTTCAGTCATTAATGCTGGTGAGACAAATATGAAGCAGCAGATGACAAAAATCACTGGGTTTTCTTCTATTATCGCCACCAAGAGGCTTGTTGATAACTCAAATCAAGGTCCGCTTTCCATTCTTCTGCCAAACAGTGAAGCGTACGATGGAATTTACTAATTTACGATCTTCGGCTTATATTTCACCCAATTCACAAGATAGAATATCACATGTAGAGCCAGATATCCAAAAAAAAACTATATAAGGCGCAACCGCCTACTAAAAAACGCACTGAAGAACGGATCAAAATTCCGACCTGCTAAACACCTTTCAAAATGCTGCATATAAAAATCTGGAAGAATGACAAAGGTTCTTGCAACGTGGGATAGATCCGTATCGCTGCCGGATCGCAAAAGCGAAAAGGGTACAAGTGTAATCAGATGGAAAGACGGGCATGTACTCTGAGGAAATCAATAAACGGAACGGAACCGTTAATACAGAAAACAATGTGTCTCAGTATACTTTATTGCAAAATTATAATGTACAATATTCTATAACAAGGAACAACTCTATCACTGTTTACTAGAACTGCATAACGGATAGAACAAGATCTTCAAAAAACTACCTATATCGTCCCTTCCACATGATATCATAATGTGAAAGCCAACTAGTGCAATTCTGCATATTATATTTTATTAAAAGGTCCCAATTGAAAGGATTTTCATTGTGCTCGGCTATACTTTTTCTCTGCTTCTCTTCTTTCATTGAGTAACCTCTCACTCACAAATTCCACTGGGAACGAGAATCGCTCACAAAGATAGAGTAGAAAAGCTTGTGCCTAAACTGACACAATCAATGAAGGAAGGCAAACAAAAGACAGAAGTGTTGAAAAAAGATTTTGTAAAGATGCAATAGCTACATAATGAAGAAAGAGAAAAGTAGGTAGTATAAAATGATATAAAATCTTGCTTGCAAAGACTGCAAGGAAAAGCCCGCGCGTGCATGCGCACGAAGGGAGGGCAGCAGTGAGTAACTTGCCGGTGCCGGGTTACGGTGACACAAGCGTTACGAACTGAGTCACGTACCCTGACGCAGTGGTTACGGTAACTTTTTTTGCTTGGCGAGGAAGCTTTAAAAATAGGACTGGAGGGTTGCGCAAGCAATGGATGTTGACTGTGACATGACGGAGTACCGTCACGGGTGTTCAATGAATTAGGCACCTCAGCTTGCAATAAGTTTCTTCAATGATTAAACAATTGCTCCTTCCCCTTACCATCAACAACCCATCCTACTCTTGATGAAAACAGAGTTTTACGGATTACTCACTTATACCTTGTCCAATCGCACCAACGAAGGAGATGAAACAAACCTCAATCTCAGTAATATGGCCTCCGACTTCTAAAATGATTCGTTTCGCTTTAACAGGTGTTACATAATGTTGGATACTTCCCTTTCCACCACCGAGACGAGTACCTAAACATTATGAAAAATGAGTTCCTTGAAGCGAGAATTGTGAATAAATTTTCTACCTTGAGCTTTCTTCGTTCTGGGTAACCACGGAGGATCTACGCGCCATATGGCAAACTGTTTATCACGAAGGTTCTTGTTGACACGCTCCTTAAAATACAAAAAGTAGGTTTTGAAAAGCGGGGAAAGTAGTAGGTAATGCTACTACAAGTGCCCATTAGAAATAGTTCAAACTGGAGGCCTCATCCAATAGGGAGGAATATGGTGAGGAACTTAAAATCGGTTTGAGTAATTCATTTTTTCGCATGGAGAAAACACCTCCGGCGTAGGTGAAAAAATGGAATCGAAATGGTAACACTCCTAGGACTTCCCACCACTGCTGAAACTGAAACTTCTCTAGGCGACAGCAACCGTCACACCACATGCCCCTCCTCGTTACTGGATGAGACCTTGAATTAGTGTTCAACAGTTATCGTATAGGGTTTCTTATAATTACTAATGAACCCACCTGAATGAATTTGAAATCCTCTGCTGTTATGAAGCCTCCAGAAATCGCTGCGAGGCCAAACTGTTCGTGTATGAGCTCTGTATGAACTTCTTCTACACCACGTGCTTCGATCATTCGCTTCGTTGTTTTGTACCTAATCGGGAAAAGGAGTGGTAAAAAACGTAGCGGGGCAACATAAGCAAACAGCGATTATGTGAACCAGTACAAGGAGAAACAATAACTAACTTCTTCTCGCCCTTATCGGGATCGTAGAAAGGTTCAGGAGGCATCTTTGGAAGCTTTAGTTCGCCATTGGGAGGGAACTTCACATCTAAAATCATTAAGTAGATGCATTAAGCGTGATTTTGCTGCACGAAGCCGACAGAAAAACCTACTTTCGAAAGTCACTGGAAACGGATACCGTCGCATTCCACGGCTACTGCTATATAGAAGATTACTGAGTTCTTGTAAAACAACTGTACGAGTCCTCCAACTCATGATCTTAAACATTTTGAAAAATTGGTGCCGAAGTAGTGCGAATCACGAAGAGCTATCAAATGTAATGGAAGAGATCGCTAAAAGAAATTCAATGTAGTCAAATAATTCAAACTTCGAAGGGGATATCATCTTAGAAGCAAATTTTACAAAGAATTAATGCTAGCCAAAGAATGTGGCGATTTTTTCGGTGGTTGCGCAGCGGTCAAAGAGAAGTGGAACTGGAGCGCGGAAATAACAAGTGTGCCGAACTGTTTGTTTGCATATTGTCACATGGTTTGGTTTGTTTCGCCTTTATCTAACCCTTCCGATTCGATCTCAAGCAATGAGTATCATTAATTCAGAGTTACAGATTCGCAGTATGTACCATTCTGCACGATGGTGTTACCAATAGTTAGTGTGTGCAGAAACCTAAGCCGAAAATCCTCAATATTAATATTTCTACTCTTTCAAATCCGGTTGCAGAGCTGATCGGCGCAATGTCGCTCTCGGCAATGTTGAAGGAGCATCAACAGAGACAAGTACTGCGAAGGGAAGAACAAGGCAAGGATTGTTTGCTGTTCGTTAATTAAGTGAGGATACTCTTCTCGAAACAAAGTACCAGATTTTTCACTCAGCTTGCTCATTCAGAAAAACTCAAAAACGAAGCTATCGTTGCTGCCCACAACCTTTCGTCAGCCGTTGTCGATCATTTGAATTTGAGGTAAATGTTATAGTGAGCCATTTTATTACGATGTTTCTTTATAAAAAGGAATTTACGGTGAGGAAGGGTGGATGTTTAAGCGGCTCGAATTCGACCTGGAAGGCAGAAGCAGCTGGGACATCACTTAGGCTGGTGTCAGAGTCCGCGATCCGTCGCGCGACGGATCACAGAAATCACAAGTGCCCCGATCAATACTGCGAGGTGCTCTCCAATCCCGCCGCCATTTCTGCTTGATGGTGATGGTTGAATGACGACTGTTCATGATTCTACTTGTTTCATATTCAGTGTTTCAAATGTTCAAATGGGGCACTTGCGATTTTTGCGATTCGCGCGAATCGCGCGACGGATCGCGACTCTGACACCAGCCTTACGCCGCCCCGTAGTCACCTCAATTGGGCACTATTCACAATCTGAGAGAGTCAACTATACGTTCCACTATTGAAGTGTTTTGCGGACCTATCTCGATAAGGGCAAGTGGCGCAACAGTTCGTGCTGCCTTCAGTTACTCCGAGTTTCTATTGATTGTACGGGGGAGGGGAGCGGGGCGAGGTGAACCCCATTATTGGGATAGGATCTTGCTCATGATTTCAAACAGGGCGCATGCATAGTCGGGTGTCCGATCGTAACGATCGTGAGATCACACAGCGTTAGATACGTATCGATCGTCCAATCCCTGCACACGTCTGGCGATCGATATGCATCCAGTGCTATGCGATCATAACGATCCTTACGATCGGACGACGGACTACGCAGCTATCGGGTGATCTTCCGTACTGATTCGCTGCTGTAATAAACCCTAATAGGTTACTGTCGAAGTGAAGTTCTTTTGAGTCAATTGTAGTATGGATTACTTCCTGAAACACTGTTTTAGGGTTTCACAAGCGTACGGGAATCAGAAGCGATTGGACGTCGAAGCGAAACGGTTCGAGAACAATGCTGCTGCACTGGCAAAGCAATCAGAACAATGGCTTGCAATTACGGAATCACTTAATCACGCACTCAAGGTAATTATTGATTTTTCATTCAGGCTTACTAATCAAAGTCCATATTGATTTGACTATTTCTTTATATTGGCGCGGAAAATCCTCTCCTTTATTTCCACTATGGGATAACTTACGATAGGGCGGAACGCGAGTCACCAACTCCGTCTCTGTGAACGCCTGACTACTTGAACTTACCTCCATGGTGCTGCGAATAGTTGGAGCACAGATGGTCAGAGAATGGCGCCTAGCCCGGCCCAAGTCCTAAGGATGGGTGACTTAAAACTAAACCTTGAAGGGGAGGTGGGACTCCAGGGTGGGTGAGCCAATTACAGTATGGTGGAATTCGAATGGGAGATCACATTAGTCATAAGCTGCGTTCAGGCGAAAGAGCGCAGGCGAGAGCACCAAGTCGCTGGGGTTTAAAGGAGCGAGTTTTCAAGTAGTTCGTCGACCCCTCTTGCAGACTGTCCTATCGCCTATCCCCGACTAGGTGCTTCGTTTTTAGGAAGGTATGATGTTCATTAAAGTATGATTCGGTAATGTGAACCTCTAAAGGTGCAGTGAGAGTATTGAGCCTCAGTAGATTCTCATGCACAATACCAGCCCTATACATATCCCTCTCAGGGCCGTATCCTATCCTCCCGAGTGGCAAAAATCCTTTTTGATTTTCTTTGCCGCCTTCTCAACCGGGATTGCCCAAAGAAAGGCCTATTTGTATTATATTAGGCGTGAGTGGAAAAGTAAGCATGTGTTAAAAGCAAGGAAAGTATATTGTTGAAAACAAATAAGTTTGAGGGGACTTTTCATTTCCCTAGCCTGGGGCGAGTGTAGGGCACGGCCGCATTTCCCAAATCCCCAATTCAGTAATCTGTGTGAACTGGACTGTGTATAATCTCACTTCACACCCACAGCGTATGCCTTGAATAACATACTCAGGAAATCGGCGATGTGGAAAATTGGGCGAAAATTGGGCGAAAGCAATTCAAAACGATATGACGATCATTTCGAGTACACTGCAGCGGATATACCAAGGTGACGATTACCTAATAATTTGAAATAATTGCTTACTCGATTTTTCATCATGTTTTCTTTGAAAGTCGGTGTGAAGTAGGCTAGCAGCCCTTTATTTCTATTTAAAGGCAAGATTCAAGCTTAAACTGATGAGAGGTAATTCTACTCAAATGTGATGTGGGAGTGGGAGGTGGACCGCCAGTGGAGAAAAAAGGAAAAAAAATCGTGAAATACACAGGAAATACGAGCCTTTTGCTCTACGTTGCGGAGAAGTTCAAAAGGCCGGCAGGGAGATGAGAGATAATGTGAGCGCGGAGAGCGGTAGAGAAATCCGAGAAGAGAGAGCATAGCAGATCAGCATTGCGACGCAGACAAAATATCGAGCGGTGGGCGGAGCGTGTCGCAAGCAGGAGGAGCGTGTCAAAGTCCTTGGCCCCTAGCGCCTTAGTGACGCATTTGGATGCAGAAACTTGGAGATGTCGCTCGACAGCGCGCCATGCCACTTCTTAGTCACTTTAAGGGTTATTTAGATGGGTCTGACTTTAAAAGCATAGTCATGGTAATTGATAGTGTGATTAGAGCTGCTAGCTAATGCGTCACTAAAAAAACACTAACTAAAGCGGTTAAGAACCCGAGAAACGGGACTTCTGTTCGCCTGCTGATTTCAAGAGTGAGGAGTTCGGGTGCACGAAGCGAGGCCGTCGCGCACAAGCAACAAGACCTAGTAAGCGGAGACGATCGCAGGTGTACTATATGATTCCGCTCAAATTAAAGAGGAATGATACCATTGAACGTCCCACATCGCAATCATGCGCAGCGAGTACTCGACAAACTGATCCGCACGACGGAGTCGCCTTGTAACGCGGGATGACATGAGCGAGTGATCGGTGAATGTAGAGGCGTTGCGGTTCATTAAAGGCAAAAGTCGGGCTCATGAAGGGGGTATTATGGCGATTGAAACTGAGTTTAGAAATGCGAAGTGGGACGATAGTGGGGAAAAAACTGAGAAAAACCGTCGACAAGGCCGTTAACAAGACCCTCTTCCCCACTAGCAGTGAAGGAGGCTGGCTTGGGAAAGAGGCACGTACAAACAAGTTTCTCTGAAGATATCAGTCGTTCTATCGGTTGATACGGCAATCAACCTAGCTGATTCACACGTTGTATGCTATACCAAGCCATTGCACCACATTCCCAATATTGAATTCTTTACTGAACATTTGAATTGAATTTTTTTCAAAAAATCATTGAATTTTTGAAAAAAATTCAATGATTTTTTGAAAAGAATTCAATTCAAATGCCAGTGAAGAATTCAATATTCAAATGTTTTGTTCTATGTCATGGAAGTTCATTGTCTTTAAAAGGTTTTAGTTCACTGTCTTTGAAGTAAAATGAGTGAAATAAATATTTCACTTAACATTTAGTCAGCACATTCGGCACTTCCATTACCTAAGAGAGGGGTCG